TTAAAAATATCAACGGCAAAGGTTATTAGTGTTTTGTTTAGTTCATAATAACTGATTTTTAGAACTAAAATTATACAAATTAATATGGCGTTAATATTTTGTGTGATTTCCACTGACATGAATATTATGATTATCGTTAGCTGAAGGTTTAAATTGTATTGTAGGTATAGGTCGGTTTTTCTTAGGAAATAACTAAGATATTTGTGATGTTTTCGATACCTAATGCTTCATTCATGTTGGTTGGAATGTTGAATTTTCTGAGTTCGTTGGAATATTGGTAGCAAATAGGGTAGATATCTGTTATTATATGTTTTAATGTTAGGGTAACTCCACAGACTGTGCATTCAGAGGGCTCCTTCTTTGGCCATAAGGAACAAGTGTAGCCTATTCGCAGACGATTGATTATAATTTTTTCTCTGTGAGATTCGAGCCCTGTCAATTTAAAATTGTGTTTTTTATTTCCCTGAGTTTGGTCAGTTGTATCGACCAGTGCATTTGCCATTTTATTTGAAATTTGTTTTTAATATGAGTTTTGATGTCATTATAATAGTTACAATATTCAAAAGTTGTATATGGTTGTGTTTGGTTGTGCTGTTTCCTTTGCTGCTTGGTCCGCCATTTTGTTCACTTTTATATTTGTGTGACCCAGTACCCAAATGAAAGTGATATTTATTCCCCTAAGTTTTAATATTTTGGTTTTTTATTATATGATTTTCGCAATATCTTGTATTTTCTAAACTTCGTAGTATGTTCAATGAGCCAGTGAGTATAAGGTTGTTTATTAAGAGAACGTGATACCCGCATGGGTTGTATCCGTCTTACAAGTGCGTAACATTTCAAATACTGTTTAGCGCGGGATAGAACCACTCAGTCTGTAATCTTAGTAGAAACACCAAACGTTAACACAACATAGAAGATAATATTTTCTGTGACGTAGCGTTTTTATTTGTTTTATATATTTAATAAGAAAAAACTTGAAAATATCAGATTTTTAAAAGTATTACAACTTTTTTCTTATTAAATATATCAAACAAATAAAAACACTACGTCACAGAAAATATTATCTTCCATATTGTGTTAACGTTTGGTGTTTCTACTAAGAGTACAGACTGAATGGTTCTATCCCGCGTTAAACAGTAGTATTTGCAATGTTATGCACTTGTAAGACGAAGACGGGTGAATGTAAGTTCCTACACGATAAAATAAGGTACATGTGTAAGTTCCTACACTAAGTATATTATAAGTTATCAATATGATATTAGTTATAATGATACATCATATTTTAATACTGTCATACATTGATACCTAACCCTTTATTCTATATAATATATAATTCTTAATAATATTTAATAATTTACCTTATAAATATTATCAATATAATAATTTTAAAAATAATAATTGTAATAATATAATAATAATTCGTCAATTATTGAAAAAAATAAAAATAAAAATTATCCGTTCTATATAATATTTAATAATTTAAAAAATAATAATTGTAATAATATAATAATAATTCGTCATTTATTGAAAAAAATAAAAATATAAATTATYCATTCTATATAATATTTAATAATTTTAAAAATAATGATATAACTGTTATTAGATTGATAACTTATAATATTCCTAGTTTAGGAACTTACACGTGTACCTTTTTTTTCGTGTAGGAACTTACACATCACATATGTAGGAATTAACGTATGTAATTGTCTACCTGTTACTCTCGCGTAGGAATTTACGATTCCCCACGAAGACAACATATGGGGGTATCACATCCTCTTAAGTTTTTATCTTGTTTTTGGATGCATTTTGTTGTTTTGAGAATGGCTATTGCTTCGGCGGAAAATATGGAGCATTCATTTGGCAACCTGTATTTAATTGTTTATCAGTGTGTACAATATTGCAATGCCGACTCCATTTTCTATTTTTGAAGCATCTGTAAAGAACATTTTCCAATTTTAGTAGTTGTCTAGTAGGTACTTTTCTTAATGTTCATGGTATGTTATTATTGGGTTCGTATTTTATTTTTTATTTTGAGCAAGTTCCGTCAATTTGGTAGACCACGGTGAGAAGCTTAATATTATATATTATTATCATATGTATTAATACAAAAATTGTATAACTCATGTTTTGATTACTAGCTATAATACTATTTACTCTTATCTTATTTTAATTTGATAGAGGTACTGAAGTACTTAAATTTCATCTGATAATGATTATTTGGATGTTGTGATATAATATTTGTAAGTTGAAACCAGTTCTTAGAAATTAGAATATAAATATTATTGTATTTAGTTAAGTAGATACTGACTCCTACTCAAAAATATGTAGAATTTAAAAAACACTGATTATTCCGATTTTTCTCTCTTGTTTTTCGTTATCATCAGTATATATTCTGTGGAAGGCCACTCGGGATAAATAATTAACAGTCTTTAAGTAAAGTTAAAGAATATTAGTTTTTGCATCATGTCCAGAACATTAATCGCCATGGTTTGTGTGGTTTAACTTATTATACTTGTAATATGCATATAATTTTTAACAAAGTTAGGATTGCCGAATATTGTATAAAAATACTTTTATGCCATCATTTTGATAATATTATGTACAATATGCATTTTAAGATAATACTTTAAAACAACAGATTTAAAATTAAACTCAAAAACTTAATACACGGTTTTTATCCATAACTGCAGCCTAGTATAATTATTATTCATATTAATTGTTATTTGCAAAATTGTTTCATGTAATATCATTTGTTAATTGATATGTTTCCTTAAATTTATATAAGCTGTTTCATAACAATGTTTGTTTAAAGTTAAGTTTTAATAATTTTTGTACACAATACCATTGTCTATTGTATTGCAAATAGGTACTAATAAACTAATAATATACCAGCTTACAGTTAGGTACATAAATTCAAGGAACATTTTATGAATAATGAGTCCGCCCTTGAATTCTTTTAAATATAGAACTTGTTAATATATTCGCCAATCATCCTTAGTGTCGTTCTACTTAACTATTCATTAAGCGTTACATTTTTATAGAACGGTTGCATGTGACAGAACTTGCGCATACACATGTAATAGATTTCCCTATAGGAATTCATATGAAATGATTGTATATATTATTTTTTTTTTTCATTGATCTTAAGCCCGGCGACTAAGGCCATTAGCTGTTGTAGGGGTAAGGTTTTGGTATGGTAGGTTGTTTTTACGGTTGTTACGGTAGGTAGCAAACACGTGTATGTGTGGCAAGGTTTTTAACTACTATGAACCCGGGTGGTCACCCATCCGGGAGCTAATAGCTGTGGTCGTTACTTACTCCCAGTCGCATTCCGTGGTTGGTAGCAGCTAACACACGACGCCAAGCCACTCGTATATATTTTATTGGATATAGTGTAGCGAATTTAACTGTCAAGTACACACATCTTTCGCAAAACTTAAAACTGATGAACTATCGCGACGACGGTTACTGTTTTTCAATTGTAGTTGACCGAGTTTCCTATTGCTGCAGCAACGCGTACCTGCCTACACAACTGGCTTTCTTCCGGCTTTTCCCCTTGAGTTTCTTACGTTTGACAACAGAAAACCTACTTACATCAATTAGCACAAATATAAAGACAGTAAAATTKTTATCTTATTCTTGTACTTGTAAAAAGTTCAAACCCTATAGACTTACAACATTGCTTTTTCTTTGTGTTTCTTAAGTTTGTATACGTTATAATATTATACTATTATAATCGCCCATGCATAACGAGTAGGTACTGCATTCCATTGAGTAATTTATACAATACCACCAATACATATATATATATATATATTATATGCTATACCTAGGTATGTTTACATTCATCGTGTGTCTGTCGTAAAAACCAAGTGATTGATTATATAATTATTCTTGACGTGTTTTATTCTTAATTAAAGATATAGTTTTCTTAACACCAATACTAAACTAATATATTAGTGAGTATTAATATTAGTATTAATGAATATATTCATAAATAATTTATTGTGAATTTGGGTGTATACAATTAACTTAAAGTTTGTTCATTATATTCATTCGATGTACATAGATTAATATGCGTATATATACAGCTATATGTATACTGATATAATAGGTAACTATAATTGATTGTATCTATAATATTATATACAAACAAATTAAGTCAATTTTAAATTGTACCTTTTTATTTTTCATTAGAACAGTTGTTTTTTTGGTAAAATATATTATTTACAGTGTCTAACTAAATTTACCTGTAAATTAATACTACGTCAAATATATGTGATGTATATTTACATTTTATAGCTCATACACGATATCTATTCAGAAACACCCGACGATCTTCTAAATTCAACACTAGATTATGTGTTAATTATTCCGTGATGGTTTTCTAATTGAACCAGTTAGATTAATACTTTTTTTAGGATATAAGAAAAACTATACCTAGTGTTCACCTTGAACTCATAAACCTGAAAATTATCTCGGTATAAAAGATTCCATAAAATCAACAATGTAAGTGTGTACCTATGAGTGGATATTTTACATCTCTTGAATTATTGTAAAAAACATTATTATTAGGTACAACGTTCTGTTATATTTGCCCTTTTTTTATTACACGTAACCTTCATATGTTGAAATAAATGAATGCATATTAATTATCAGCTATTTTATAAATCTACCTAGTCTATACTAATATAGTATGTGAAAATACCTACCTACCTTTAAAATTTGTTGACAAAATAAGATAAAACCCTTTAAATGAGTTATTATTAGATAGGCTTAAGATAACTAGGTACCTATTATAAGTTAGACCAAATTATCAACAGTATACCCTTTTATATAAGCGTCCATTCACTTCAAATAATTATTTTTTCATTTTATTAATATAATGTATATATTATATATACATATATATATATATATATATATAAATTGGTGTTCCATTATATTCAAATATATATAATATTTAATTCAGTATAATTAATTTTAATAATTTTGTTTCAGCCATTGTAATGCATTTTGTCTTTCTGGCGGCGTTTTTCTGGCTCAACACGATGTGTTTCAATATATGGTGGACGTTTAGGTGAGTTGAAAATGAATTTATTACTAACCATATTATTATTGTGTGTGTGTGCGTTTGTATTATATTTTTACGTTAAATGAGATAAGGAGTCGTTTCACGGTATAATCACTGTAATAGGACGGTAAAAAACAATTCAAAAGTTTAAATCGAAAAAGAAGATGATGAGTGTTGTTTTACCGACAAGAACGAGTACCACTAATTTCACCATCATTTCTGGGCGTGATAATTTATGTCATATATATACACGTATACAATAGTATCCTGAGGATATATTATGTGTGGACCTCGTATTTTACATTACCCGTCGTGTCTACCTGTATCGTTGTAGAAAAAAAGGATAAATAAAACGCACCTCGGTATATATATACATATATATTATTGTTGAATAGGCTTACATATCCCGAGACAATAAACAGTAATATCGAATTACGAAAGTGTATTTCAACTGTATATGTTATTCCCACGATCCACACGTATACCTACATCATATAGTTGTATATATATTATATTTACCACTATTCAATTTCCTCTCGCACCGTTTTGAGGTGTACTATCGAAATACTATTAAATTAATTCAATACTATCAAATCATCGATTTTTATATTATTATGTACTATTATCATCTAACGTGGTGATAATTGTTACAATTTAGGGTAAATTATCTTACATATTAGAGATATAGAAATTAATATGTAATTGCAGTGCCCATTCTTAAAACCACATGTTGCATTCTATGGAGGCTTACGTTTATAAAATTCATCATGTGCACCTGCATGTAAGTTGTAACCTAAAGATTGCTAGATCTAAAATATTAAAAATTAAAAAACAAGGCAAACCAGTGTTTACTAAATGGTGGTTAATCAAAAAAATAATTTTGCTCCAAATCATGAACGAATATCATTTTACATCGATTAAACCGCTTACGGTAATGCATAAATTACAAAACKATCCAGCATAATAACAACAATATTATCGTGATTTTATCATTAAACTCGCACACGTTTTGCAGGATACTTGAATAATTTGAAAGTTCAATTGAATATTTGTTATACATATATCTTTTATAATTTACACTTGTGAAATATTAACTTTGATTAATAAGACTATTATATTATAGTAGTATTATACAATCGCTGATCGCTGTCATTTCAAAAACTGGTTCGATTACCTGTTTTTTTTTGACCTGACAAATGTTATTAACTAATTATTATAATTATGATATATTTTCAATAATCTACCTTATGCAACATCTGAGCRAATGAATTAATTTTAAAATTAATTTTCCATTGATAAATATAAAACCTGTTTAAACATTAAATTATTTAACAAGTATTATTATTATTGGTTGGTTGTAAATATTGTATTTAATTAAATTTTATGATTTTTTTTCGCTTTTACATGAGCATACTTTCATTAAAATAATTTAACTTAAATTCTTATGAAATACAATTAATTATACCAATGTTTTTTTTAAATTACTACGAAATTTAATTTATTTTCTAATACATAAATCAGTACCTATATATAAGTTATCTAATAATAAACTATAATATAGATTATGTCTTTACATCTAATACATACCTTTCTATATCATAAAAAACTAAAAAATAAATAAGTATTTCAGTCAGTCAATTTTAAAAATCACATGTCTGCATAGTCGATTAGTATTTTACAATTAATTGAGAAATATTATATATATATATTTATATAGTTTATTGCACGAACCCTTTTTATATTTGATGATAAGATATAGGTATATTTATATTTTTGTTCTTTATTTATAAATAAATATTAATATTAATATTATTAATGTTTTAATATACTCTTCTGATTCATATTAAATTTTTAATTATTTTTTTTTTTAACGAGTTGTCACAAAAATACTTAAACAGTCCTATATCTATTACCCAAAATCATCAGACATGACATCTATATAAACATAAAATTATGAACGTTTTTTATATTAAAAAAAACTAAATTTAGTTTAAAATACAGCAGGGTGTTCTGCGAGGATTTATTCATTGCGATACCTTACAAAATAATGGTGATATCAAAATTTTAGTTTTGTTATAAGAACTACAATTATTTCATTTTTTAATTTATTTAAGTTTTGGTATAAAATTTGAAAAATATGTTTTTTTGTTTAATTATTTCCAAACAAACACTAAAGAGCCATTTTGTAGAGTTTACCTTTCTGAAAATATTGACGTTTCTAAATTTTATTTTTATTATGAATGTGATTTTTAATATTTTTTCTAGTTTGAAGAAATAAAATATGATCATAACTATACAGGCACACTAAAAGCGTCCAACCTGCCGTACGATCACGCGCGTGGCATGGTGTTTCATAACTTTGATAACACTACGGTGTTAAATAATTCGCAATTTTTCTCGAAACTAAAAAACGGAAAAACAGAAAATTAACGAAAATACAATTTTGAAATAGAAAAATAAACTTTACAAAAAATGGCCATTGTAAATTTTTTTAGAAATATTATTAAATAAAAAAATATATTTTTAATTTTTTTACCTAAACATTAAAATAAATTTAAATATTAAATAATTTTAGTTGTTATTTCTATGAGTCTTATTACAAAACCAGAATTTTGATATATTTTGGGAGATATCACAATGGGTAAATCCTCGCGGGACACCCTATGTATATACTGGTATAGAGCTATACTACAAGTTTTTTGACGTATATTTTTAAGTTGGCAGTCCATTTTTTTTTTAATACCCAAATATTGAAGTAGGAACAAAACACATACATAATACGAAAATGTGGTGTATATATTTTTACGGAAATACATCTGAAGTGTTTGAAATATAAATGCTTGTTGTATGAAATAATACGTCAAGCGCGTCGTTTTTTTTTTATAAAATAAGCGCAAGACAAACTATTATGGGTATCTATCATTTTCCTTGATGTGTAATTATTTAATGTGCTAATGGTGTTTTCCAGGGACTTGAGGCCCGCCAACTTGGATAAAGGCCAAGAGGCGTGTAGGCTTAGGTTGTACCAGTTGTACGCGTGGGGTGTGCCCTTGGTGATCGCTACGCTAGCCGCTGTATTGGACCGTATTCCCCCAGATCAATATATGTCACTGATCAGACCTAAATTTGGTGAACATCGCTGCTGGTTCTATGGTAAGTAACTGCATTTAAATTGCCAGAGGTATTCAGCATTAAAATTTAAATATTACAATTAGTAACCTTTATTATAATAAAAACCTTTACGGCTATATTCCTTCAATATTGTATCGAGTCCATTAATTTTAGTCCGTTTTTTTAAATTTCTGTGGAGTAAATTAAGCCCAGTAAAAATATTATTTTTATGATAGTTATTTAGCATTACTCAGAGGAAACCACGATGAGGCGGCTATCCACTGTMCTTCAAAAATGTTTTTTGGTTTACTTGGTTAGTTAATAAAATAGAAATTTTTTTCCCAATATAAGGTATTATTATATTTTTTTGTTACGTTAAAAATGTTTATAATAAAAAATACAGTTATAAGTTATCTGCAAAATAATGATACATCATCTTCACATATTCAGTCCTTGTAATAGTTTTTTCATTGTATTGTTGAATAATTTTTCCATTTTTTCAATTTTTTTTTTTTTTTTTTTTTTAAATTTATAAGGTTTCAGATCGTAACTTAAATATTTTATCCATAACATTGTAAATATGAGGATGAAGTGTATAAAAGCTTTTATTAAAATAACTGGAAAGATTCGTCCGTGATAATGTTGCTGAAGCTGATGCCCAAATATTCGGAGAAAAATCAGCAAATAAAATATAGCAAGAAAATTGTCTAAGTCGATCATCTTCAGGCATCATAGGCATTAATTCATAGCTATATCATCACAAACATTTTACTATGGTCGCAATTTACTATATACCTATTTTAGAAATCGAAAAATCCCGGACGCAATTTACTATAGTATTTTTACTACCTGCTTAATGTGGGTGCAATTTACAAGCGCTCGTGACAATTATATTAACAGGTTATACATGCCTACTAAAATAAAGAAATACATAAAATATTAAACGATCAATAGCTTTTTTTAAATAAAACATCATGACACGCTGATATAATTAAATTTGTTCAAATTAATTACAACAATTATCATAATTAATACATTTTTTTGACATGGTTTAATCACAAGATATTCAAATACCTTGTATAGAATCATTTATTTGCATGATGATTGACTGCTTAGAAAAATATAAAATAACCTCTGTCCATTTTTGGACAAAGTAAATGTAGGAAATATTGTTAATTTCGTATTTATGTACTTTCAGGTGACGCAGAGGTTCTGTCGTATTTTTATGGACCTATTGGTATTTTGTTGATGATGAATCTAACATTGTTCGCGGCCACGGCTAGGGAGCTGACGTGTGGCTTATGGAGAACCGAAGTAGTGAAATCTACTAGCGAAAGGTACAAATGAATGTATACAACTTAAAACATTAATTTTGCCGGATTGCCCTACTTTTTCGATCCCACATACATATAATTATCCTTGCTGATAATTGATTTTATAACGGTGGTTAAGGAATGGTAGTTATAGCGCTAATATAATATAATTGTTAAAACCTTAATGTAAAGACATTTTGTAGAAATTAACTCATTACCTAACGGATCTATATAGTGCTTATTTAAGAATTACTAATTGTATAATAATAATAATTATATTGTCGTATAAAAATTATATAGGTACCTACTTTTGTTCAACGGAAACGTAAAAAATAAACAGTAATTCTTATAGACCACAAACGCGAATTCAAAACTTATTTGTTTGTATTCGATTTTCAAAAACAGAGGTCAAATAAATGAGAAGGCATGAAATAACTTGAATGTTATAATTCCAAGGTCGGTTGTTAGTTGTAATATAGTGAAATGTCGATTAAAGTATTTAAACTATCTACTTATATTATTATATGTTTTGGCTATAATATATAAATAATTGGAATGCGATTTCATACAGGTAATTTGATAAATGTTTGTAGCTTTGTTGCATAACATTATATTTATGACGAGCGTTTAAATTTATTGACAGTATTTTTTTACAAACCAAATTATTATAATTTTGTATCTTTATGCTGCAACGGTTGTGTAATGAACTAATGGCTAATGCGTACCTAATGTGTATCGAAAAGTCCTTACTATGATGCATATGCAAGGATGGAGGGATCAATACTATATAATATATATTTGCTAACAGCCCATATACGTTAATAGTATATTCGTATGGAGTTAATGTAAAAATTCATTAAAAGACCCCCGCAGTGTGCAGTGCTGAGTGCTTAATGTACATTGATGTTCACCGATGATGACGTTTATACTTACTTTGATTGATTGAAATCCTATATCAATATGTACCTACTACCTTTACCTGTATTACATAAATGATTTACTTTGGAATTCGATAACTGTAAAAGGAAAAAAAAATAACCATTTTGTATGGTGTGGCATCACTACGATGGTAAAATTGTTTTAGGTTCTGTTGTCGGAGTGTTGTGTAAAATAATATAGAGAAATCGACTGAGTTTGCTAAAGATGAAAAGATATTGAATGACGAGATTGGTTTGACATGATTAAGCGACGTCACGGATGGCGGTGACTGCGACTATATAGTGTAGGGAAAACAAGAATAAAAATCGATTAAGAAATTTCTTAGGTATAGATGGAAAAAAATACACAGCGTCGTGTATATGAATGGAAAATTTAAACTGATATCTATATAGATTATATTTGACGTTTTTGAATGCATATAGGCATATGTRTATAAGCAGATAGAAGAACAAAAAATTATTTTATCTATTTATTAGCGTTATTGAAACATACAATACTTAAATGGCAGACGAATAAAAAGTGTATAATTAATTAAATAAAGAATGGATGTAGTCTAGTGTGTATACGCAATACGCTTGCAGTATTAGATTATAATCTATATAGTAAAAGCGGCACGAAGAGAGATCCTATGATATTATGTCGAGTTCAGCCAAGTGTTACAGTTCAGCGTAAAGGGCAGCTACAGATACAACGATATAATATCAAACTTTCGAAACTACTCGTGAGTTGGAGTCTATAGGCGTTMTTATTAAAGATTTCTGAAAGTCATTGAAAACATTCAATTTGGTTAAACTTGAAGCTTTAATCATATACGTTTTAATTAATGTAGATACTATTTCAGTATAGAATATTTTACATTTAGCTCAGAAAACAATCAAAGTGATAATAATTATTGTGACACTAATATTAATTTAAAACAATAAATATTTAGGTTAAATCGTTTTTGTTTTATTTGCCTATTTAATTTAACCGACGATTACTAGTAAAATTAACGACTTATGAGTATACTGAGCATTTTAAATTTTTATTGAGATACAATCCTATAACTATATMAACGAATATGATGTATAATACGTCTGCGTGAACTGCTATTAACTGCAACGCTTTATTACGCTTTGCAGCGTTCTCTCGTCTAGAGCTCGATTTTATATTTTGCACACAACATAAAATGTAAATATAGAATATAATAAAAGCATAATAAGCCATAAGGAATCTTCATTTGTGCATTTTTTATCATACATCCAATCATTATTCGGACTGTAAACTTCCTTCCACGTGGAAGTCCGATGAACCCCATTATAATGAATACGATTTATATGCCATAGACTCGCGATTTTTTTGTGCTCGATTAATAATAAAATATAAATACAATAATATCGTTCACATGGCTAAAAATGCATCTTAAAAACACTCCAATGTGTTCATGTATGATACTGATTTTTTTTGCAGTCGCGCATACAATTTACAAATAACATAATTTATTAATTTATAACATATAATGCACTTGAATCTGGATTTTTGTTTTTTTTTTCCATTACTATATAATACTATTATTTGTACGTCGTTTAAATGTGTATTATACTTACACTCGTCAGATGTAGTTCGGGTGTCATTTCTTCAGAGTAAATTATTTTAACGCATATTATGTAGAAGTTATTATATAAGCATAGTTGACGCGGGAAAAGGAAGTGATGTAGCCGTCGACGGATCTACATATTTAGCAGCCTATTATAAATGTATACGATGTACATATTAATATAATAATATATATTATTATAAATTCAACTGCATTGCACACACTAATAAATTATTAAAATTGCATTAATTTGCACGCTTCAACTGACATTTACAAACGTTCCTTCTGAAAAACTCGATTATTTGTGTGTATGCAAAAATAAAATTGTAATTGTCATCTCTTTGACCGCCCAAAATTGTGTCTATAGTGCATATATATTTATATTAATGCGTCAAAAATAGTGATAATAATAAGTGTGTGTTGACATTGAATGCAGAMGAAATTGGTTTTCTTTTCCTGGGAAATTTAAAAAACTTTAGATTTTATGCCTATATAGGCACATATGCCATATATTATTTATAGTAAACTTGAACGATATAGGTAAATAAATATAGGCACGCATCATAATACAATGATCTATATTAGGAATAKAAAATCCTTGGTCCGGGATAAATTAAAATACTTATTAAACTATATTTTAATATCTAAGACCATAATTATTTCATTATATATATATTACTAAGTGTCGACATTGGGTGGCTTCTTATTCAACACCTCACATCCTATATTATTCGCTCACCACATAAACTTACTGTCCATAGCTGAATAGATTGTTTATTTCCAATAAAAAATTAAAATAAAATAAAAATAATTTTGTAGCGTGCAAGAAAAAATCAGGTAACTTTTGGTACCTATGTAAATATGTAATGTTAGAAGAATATGCCATCCCTGATCTGTATCAAATAATAATRATGATAACGTAGCTACCTAAATTATAATATATTATATAGATTCAATTAAAGTCAAAATTCTCAAAGGTGTTATATCCCCAACCAAAATTAAAATATAATAAATAATTATGTTGACTAATTAATGAATATTATATAATGTTAAGATAATATTATCATATTGACGCATAAAATTATTTATTTCGTTTCTATATATTATACATCGATTTACATGTTAAAACGATAAAAAAAGAAGTATCATCTGTTATATTTTACAAGCGATTCTTCTCACGATTGTCAAACTATAATAATCCATTAATCAGTAACATAAATACTTTAACGTTCCAATGGCCAATAATAATCCTCTCCGTCGTCTGACTAGGAGATGGTTCTGAGATCTATTGCATTAAACTCACTTAAATTCATCTCTCTTATTAGTAATAGTTGTTACCTTATATCTTCCCAATTTCCCATGATCACCTCTCAAGCAAAGAGTCACTATCATAGTGGGTGACTTCTTAAACACACATACCATGATTTTTTTWAAAATATTTTCTCACATATACTTATTATTATGCAATTGTGCTAATATAGATTGTATGTTTATTATAAAAATAAAATATTTATATTTATATGATATTTCCTACACAGATTGCGTTATCATATTTTTGAAAGGAGAACAAATTGACTGATAAAATGTTTATTTTGTTGTTGCAGAGCCACACTGGGTCGCGTGTGCCTGAAACTCGTGATCGTCATGGGCATCACGTGGGTGGTAGACGTGCTGTCGTGGGTGATCGGCGGGCCGGACTACGTGTGGTACCTGACGGACCTGATGAACGCGCTGCAAGGGGTGCTCATATTCATAGTGGTCGGCTGTCAGCCACAGGTGTGGATGGCCGTCCGACGCATGTGGTGCCTGCGCACGGACAACCCATCGGACGGCGGCAACGCCCGTTCGTCCACGTCCAACGCGATGCCGTCCACTGTCAACGAGTCGACGCTGTCCAAACCGGTGGAGACGCTGTGTTGATGTCGATCGCCCCGCACCACACCTCACCGCACACGCACGCACGCACGCACGTAGAGCACACGCACGCATCGCAAGCACACGTACACGCGAGCAAGCAAACAAGCACAGGAAAATAGTCAAATAATATCATCGTCGTCGTAACCGCTGACCACTGACCACTGACCACTGACCACTGCTCCAGACTTCCGTCGTATAATGTATTATATACGATTATCGAAGTCTGTGTAACCACTGACGGACTCGTTGACCGAATGTCGACGTACGATGTGCTAATCGTTACAACTATCTTAAAATCTTGCCCGCTAACGGAATGTTTAGACTGACAAATCTTGTTTTATAATTATTAATTTTTTTTTTTTCTTTAACCAGTATTAATAAATAAGTATATCGTATTTGTAATGATGTATAATAATCGAATTAGGAGGAATTTTTCATTTTATTATTAATTATCAATCATTTTCTCATTATTATTTATTATTATTCTTTCGCCTTGCTGTTGGTACATTTTCCTCATCGACAAACACCTGCAAAGGATGAACAATATTTTTTGTACATTCGCCTCAGACCATTCTCTTCGACCGAATTATCTTATTGACTAAATTATAAACTTCTACCCGTAGTATTCATAATRCCAGTCTTTCTAATAATAATTATTATTATTCGCTTAATTAGCAGTACAATTTAAATATTATATTTATATAAGTCATAACTCATAATACAAATGTTTAACGTGTAAGTCGATTAAACTTGTCCATTTATGGCCAGATCAATCACCATTTTAATATTACACGGTGTACGATATATTTTTAATAATGGAATCTCTATCGACAAATTGTATATATTTTTTTCATTTTCGATTAAATATCGATGATAAAACTATTAATTGTGGCCAATTTTTTGGTATTTACAATATACTCAATACTATAGTAAACTTTCAATCGCAAATAATGTATTTTATCCATATGAAAATATTCATAGGTACCTTCCTATTTTCAAATAAATAACTAAATCGCCCGCATTTAAAATATATTATCACGTATAGACGATATATCTTATATTATTATATTATGATATTTTACGTAGATTATATTTGGTAATAACTACATATGTTTTTTTTTTTTGCTATTTAGTGATTTTCATTTTGAACCGTAAATTATATGTATTGCAGCTATTCTTTTGTTTTTACTTAATATTTTCCCATCGAAAACAATTATCTTAGATTTTATCTCGTTAAAAAAATCGTGTACAGGCAATAATTTATAATGCTTTTTGTTTGTGATAACTATACACGTTATCRGCATAAAACAACAAGTGCTGATTGTGAAAAATTGTATTTTATTTGTGTTTGTATTATTACTATTATATATTTTGTTTTCCTTGTGGTTAACATATTTTTATATTAAGTTCCTGTAAGCCTATCTAATTTATTAATAATTTTTAACAATGATCTATTTATATTATAATGTAATTTTTTTTTAATATTAATATTATTACTACTTTTTTTTTACCCAATAAGCCTGATACCGCGTTATTTTTGTGAAGATCTTTATAGAACTATGCGTCAGTTGTAAGTTTGTTTTTAAAATTATTTTGTAGCATTTTTTTTTTTTCGTAATTTATAAGAAGTTATATTGTGTAAGTCATCGGATCAAGACTGTGTAGATATGATGTACCTACCTATTTAAAAGAAAAGCAAATTTGACGGAGTTGTTAAATATATTGTATTTGTAAATATTTTAATATTTTGTGTTTTTTTTTTCATACTTTTATGTCATCAGTATAAAATTGTTCTGCATCTAAGTCGATGTATCATGTATTGAATATTGATGTGTGATAAGGTTCCAATTTTTTCTGTAAACCGTAAATGCCGCCAAAAGTGAGTGATGTATCATCTGTGGACAAAGACATATTTTTAGACGTCCATCACCAAAAAAAAAATTAATTATTAAACTTTTGATATGCCCAAAGTGACTTACATTGTCTTGCTGGTATTAAATACACATTATAGCAGTAAACAGGAATGTTGGTTCACAAATTTAGAGGTATAGGGTCAGGTGGTACCCCCTCCCCCCTAAAAAATTTAWGAGGGCAATTGCCATTTTGGGACCTATATGTTCGCCACCCCACTGGATAGAAGTAGTTTATAATAAATATATTTATATATATATATATGTTATGTATTCTATCAGAGAAACATTAATACAGAAAACTCCAGTCATCAACTGGCGGACCGCAAACATTTTTTTTAGGGGCCTTTATCTGCGGAGAAATTTTTATGTTTTTAAAGATAGAGATAAAAATAGTAGAGTGGGCTGTAAATTTGTTTAATGCACCACGGACTCTAAATATGAAATTTTATTTTGCTATTTTTTGCATATTTGAARAATTTTAGAATCTTAGTGMTACTTTTAAAGTTTTGGTGCCATATTTTGCTAATATTCTTAATTCAACGCTTTATTTTACATTTTTCATAAATCTCGTGACAAATGGTAATCATTAATGCGAATCAATAAGAATTGAAATTTTATTCT